ATGGAGGCGTTCCTCCAAGGTCACGGTTAGGCACTTCTTTGTTGAGAAAGTAGTGCGCGCGACGGGCGATGGGTTGAACATGTTCAAGGTAATACTTGTAGAGTTCCTCGGGGGCGAGGTTCGACAAGTCGAGATCTTCGGGCTCGTCGTCATCATCGTCTTGGCCGACTGTGTGAGAGGCGGCGCCCTGAAAATCAGGGCCGACGAAGTCGTTGGGATCGAGGGACTTGCGTCTGACCTCGGAGGGAGGAAGCTTGCCGGCTTTGGGAGCGTGCTTTCTCAGGACGTTGGGGTCGAAATGGACATGGCGCTGTTGCGCGGCTTCAGTATTATCGCGAGCCATCAGGGCGGCGGTTGTTTTCTTCTTGTTGATCGTTGACCTGGTCGTTGATCGGTTCAGTCTCCTCTTCGGAGTTCCTTCTTAAAAGGGAGGGGGGTCGATTGCGACACGCTGCGCGTCGAATCTTCTTTTGTCTTTCCCCAGTCGTCAATTCTAGTCGCTACGTCGCTGCGTCGTAGCCTTTGTTCAGGTGGGATATTTGATACCGTCCCCGGTAGAGAGATGAGTCGTAAATGGTGTGAAGGCACGTAACGGGCGAGGCAGGGCTGCAGCGTTGTTGACGTTCAACATAGAATTTACGACTAAAGAGTAAAACAAAAGGGAAGAGTTGTGTGAGCAGCTGGGCTGGAAGATATGCCTCCAGACCCGGGTGTTCAGACCACTCTCCTTATCTAATCTACAATCAATCAAATCGCTTGCATCCAGGCGGTCGTGCAGCGCACCAGGCATCGGCATGGGTCAGCGGGACTGGGCCATGACAATACTGAATTATATTATTATAAATATATTTTAAATAGTATAAGTAATTTATTTTTTAAGTACTTTAATTTAGAGGTAGCTAATACGGGTATTAATTTTATTTTTATAGGCTAAGAGGGTTTAGCGGATAGTATTATTCTTAGGTATAAAAACAAAATTAGAGGGGACTTTATAATAATTAGGGATATTAGTAGAAGCGAGACGGAGAAGTATTTATACTTCTCTATAAATAGTAAAAATATTTAAATTAGCGAAAGGGGAGTCCCTATTTAATCGAAGGAAGATACGGCCATTACTTTAGGGTACGGTAGCCTTACGGGTAAGGTTGGAGTAGGAGTTAGAAGCGGAGCGGGAAGTAGAGGTAGAATCCGTACCGCGGGCGGCAGTTTTAGCGAAGGCAATAGGCCCCTTTCCCTTTCTAATAGGGGAAGTAGAGATATTTTTGCCTACTAGAGCAGTAGGATCCGGGGTAGGCGAGGGAGGCGGAGTAGAACTTTTCTATAGGGCGGCGGTAATAGTCCGTACGAAGCGGTCCGCTTTACGTACGTAAGCGGGCGAGACGACGGAGAAGCGAGCGAATTTAATATTGAGGGTAGCGGTAAAGGAGCGGTAAATTTCCGCTTTAGCGAAAGCTTTAGAAATAACGGTCTCGGCGAAGGACGTAATAGGGCCGGGAGCAGTAAGGGAGGCGGTGGTATTATAAGCGTAACGGGCTTCCTCGTCCGCAATCCGGGCTCTCTTAGCCGACTGCGCCGTTGTAGAGGGCGGGGGTAGGACGAAAATAGAGTCCGGTAGAGGAGTAACCGGTATTATAGCCGGCGGCGGTGGTTTGGGGGCCCCAGAGGGCGAAGGCGTAGACATTTTGGAGTTGTAGATATTGGGATATCGACCGTAAAAACGGCGATTTGGGTGGTGTTAGGGATTTTGCGGGCAACCGAGCGTTAACACTAACACTTGGCGCCAAGAATTTTTGTTGTAGGAGGAAGATGGACTTAGAGGGAAGGTATGAACTCACAAACGACGTCTTCATCACTATAACCGCTGAGCAAAGGGGTCTGATCTTGCGTTTCTACGGTACCGGATACGGGTACTTACTCCGCGAACTGCGCGAAGACGTGCCGTAGGGGGTTGCCCTCTTATCTCTTCCAGTCTTTGGGAGCTCGAAGGAGACGGATAGATGCATAAGAATAGATAGAGAGAGACAGAAAAGAGGCTTTCGTGGCGTAATAAACCCTGGTCCTTGTCAGTGACTACAAACGAAGACCAGTTTGAGGCCAATCAGTCCTCCAAATCGAGAGCCTTCCCCGAGATGGTTACGGGTGATTGTCAAGGATGGTAAGTCGCCGGAGAAGGTGTCTTCCGAATGAAAAAGAAGGAGAGAGAAACCCAGATCACCCAAACAAGGCAGCAGGATGCTCGTCGTCAGATCCATATCCCAAATTGTGCCGAAGCCAATACAACTTATTCTTCATATCTCTCCCGACAGCGCAACCATCCAATATCTGCGAGCGTCCACATAACAACTACTGTAGATAATAGAAGTAGTACGGTAAAGATAATCGAAAGGGCTTTTTAGATGCTAATCTACTATAGTCGAAGCCGTCGTACTTCATCCAACATAGAGTGATGAAGAGAGTTTCTTTACGGATTGTATTCCAAGATAAAAGTTCAGGGCATCCCCCGATTTTCGGTTGCCTTATTCTCGCATTCACATCCTATCCTTGTATTATCAAACTTGGACATGCCAATTGTTAACTCTTCAACGCCCTCATAGGAACGGACATCACACCACTCCACGCACATTCGTTCTCCTCTTCCGACTTTTGGACCCGAATTCGAACAACAACAACAACAACAACAACAACAACAACAACAACAACAACAACAACAACAACAACAACAACAACAACAACAACAACAAAGCTCATCAACCCCACTCCATCCTTCCCTTTACAAGTCCTTATCATCCCATTGCATATCTGAAAGACTCATACGACGGTAAACAGGTGTCACCAAGGCCTCTACAGCCGTCAAACTGCCCTGGAAAATCCCACTCTTGTTGCTCAGCCCCCTCAATGCGCAAAACCTCTCGTACCATTCTCCCCGTGTCCATGGACTTTTCCCGAGCCTCACCCGATCGACCGCCTAGAATCCTGAATCCGCTTATCAACAGTCCTGTTGGCGCTGGCGACGAGAAGACGGATGGTCGTTCAGATCGCACGCCGGAGAACTAACAACGGCTCAGCACAAATACACCACCATCTCCTCATCTTTACTCCTATCAATGGCCAGCGGGCCTCAGGTATTCTCCCACTTTCCCACCCGACGACAGTAACAACGTCTTCGGCCCTCACTGAGTTCATACGACGGAGCATCCTCAGTCATCTGCACTTCAACGACCATCAACCCAACCTGCAGCGCTCGTCGCCCACCCCTAGTAAGGTGATCAAGCACCAACAAGCAACACACCTCCTCTTTCAGATAGAAATTCTCGTCGTCGTCCCACATCAGCGTCAAGTCAATAGGTGGCATGTCGTATAGCTGCTTGGTGTACATTTTCAGTGCCAGGATCCCACTTTCACTTCCAGCTTGCTGCCCGCCGGGAGAGGAAGTCTCGCTCAAAAGAATGACCCGGCACTTCCAAGCAGGTGGCTCAGCAGTGCTATGGAACCAGAAGTCCTTGGTTGCTTCCGTAGCTGCCCACGACCAAGAGGGGAGGCCCAATTTTGTACTGGGTTGCGACTCGGGGTAGGATTTTCTTGCTAACAGTTTCTCGTCCAGCTCGAGGCGATCTTGCCGGCGCTTTTCCTCGCTGTTGTCGGCTGTGGGATACCGGCCTGGGTTGAACATCTCGGTATTGAGAACGCTGGAATAGCCCCAGAGGAGGTCAAAAGGCCAAAGTTCCTTCCAGCTTCCCCCGAAGGTATATGTCCACCCCTTGGTTTCGGCTATGACGTTGACCATTCTTGCAAGCGCGATGAGTCGGTCGGATGTGTGTAGGTGAGTTCGGTGGCGGTGTAGTACGTGAGCAGAGTCGTCCAGCAGGCGGCGAGTTCGAGTAGATGCTGCGCGTCTTCCTTGTCATTGCTCACATCCACGCCAGCGTCTCCCAAGCTCGCAGGTAAAGAATCAACTTGTACCAAGTCCTTGTACACGGATTTAGCGTTGGCGGTCCAGATGGATTGAGAAGCTTCGGCATCCTTGCCCTTCAATGCAGTTTCAAACGGGCAACTTTCCGAGACCGCATGGAGTCGACATTCCCAGTAGAGCTCGTCGGCGCCGTAGTAAATGATGCGAGGCGAAAGCAACCGCTCTTGGACGATCCAGCCTCGTGACAGCAACGGGTTTTTCTGTTGAGCGCCCCATAGCATCTCGTCTACGCTGGGTTCGTACTTTCGCGGATGGCGTAAAACGAAGCTGCTCCGCAATCCGCGGGTTTGATGTCATTCTCCTTCTGGCTTTGGGCCCTGACATCCGGCATTTTGCCATCCGTAAAAGGTAAAGGAGACGTGATGATGGGCGCATACACTTCCAGAGGGCTACTCCGGACCGAGAAGCAAGTGTCGGCTGTGGCACCTTGGCCTCCCTCCATGCCCATCCCCGAAGCAAAGATGGTCAAGAGAGAGTTACCGTAGACGGCTGCCATGGTCTGGGCCTCCCGGTTCCAGTCCTCTGGTGAGTCCTGCATGATGCAGAGAGAGTCGATCCAGATGTATCGGTAGCCTAGTTGCTGGGTGATTTGCATGGCATCGAGGAATGTCTGAGTTAGACCGTCGGTTGGTATTCCTTCTTCGGATTTCTGCCAGTCCTCAATTTTCTTGGTTGTTAATCTTAAGAGATGACCCAGTCAAGGCCCATGAGTGACTGAGAGTCAGGTATGGGATCGTAGCTGGTGTTTGGGAAGTCGAGTTTGGGAGGAAAATGCGCGGTCGTAGAGGCTTCTTCTGTCCATTTTCGTCCAGACCTCCAACATCAACGAGCCTCGTCGGCAGTCTCTGGAAACTGGAACTGGAACCTTTGCATTCCGGATGGTTATCGAGGCATTCATTTAGCCAGTGTCGCACAAGACTATAGGCTTCAGCCGAGTCAGTCGAGCAAGGCAACACGAACATTGACCCATCTGGCAGTCTCTGGGGCAAAAGAGATTTCGGTCCTCCTCCGCTACCATCGGTCCGCTCGAGCTTGAATGTCATCAACGGGATCGTTTCTGGATCACCCTGAGGCTCTTCATCTTTGACAGGGTCCGGCAATGAGGCCCAACTATCATCCCACTCGGCGCAAGATGTAGCGGAAAATGAGACAACTGGAATATCCCCTCCATCACCTTCCAAGGCTGTCGATCGGCTGCATTCGATCATGACCCTGTGATCATCTCCAGCGCTCGCAATATTGTTCTCGAAACGGACTTGTGTGCACAAATGGCAACCGGCGCCAATTACTGAGTTTTCCAGCATCTCTTTTGTATTCTTGCTGTGGAAGAACTTCTCGCCTGTCCAGTCAGGCTCCTCGCCGGGTGGCCTCAGTTGCCAGAGTTTCTTGGATGCTGTGATAGCGCGGGCACAGCGTTTACATAAACGGTTTGGTCCATGTATTGGAACCGGCGAGGTAAACCATCGCCTTCGGATGGGGAGACTTGAAGAGGTATGCCGTCCATTGTGATGCTTCGTTGCCGAACGGTAGGTTGTTTCTTTTATCAATAGGATTCGACGTAGTGAGTTAGTAGTAAGGAACAGTGTGGAATTAGGCAGCAATAAGGATTTTTGCGCATCATCAGGAACTGGACCTCTCGGCCAAGTGGCCAATGGATGGCCAATCACACGCGACCCGTCGCGGAACCCATCATGGCATCATATCATCGAGGATGGCGGGCAATTGCGGCAAGGATCATGTCACGGTGGTGGCATGGTGTATTTTCTTGCAAGGAGATTTTTGCATTGAATGGAAATCCCATAGTTCATCGACAGCCGATAAGGGGGGAGATAAAGGAAGAAAAGAAGATTGGGGAATTGGAGGAGGAAGAGAGAGCCGGAGGGCAGCCAGGATGGAGGGCATTCCCGCCTGCATTGATAAGCGCGATAAGGATGATTAAGATAAGATGACACCAAGTGCCCAGAGAACACCGAAAACCATATCACCAAAAAAGAACACGAACATACAGCAGCCTACAGTATCCTCAATCGTTCGGGGATTAATCTTCGCTAGCAAACCTGAAACCACAGCAAGCTTGGTCGGCGACAGAGGGCGATACACAAAGAACTTGGCTTCGAGTGCATTCTTGTAGCGTTACCGGTTCCGCTCGATCCCTTCATCAATCCTGGCAATCATATTGCCGTACGAATCAGTCAAGCCGGGGGTGATTGCTCTGGACGATCTCGACAGCGTCCCAGAGCGATCAGGACTCGGTAGCCTCCATCCAACTCCACAACCCGCGTCTCACAGCTCGCCATCTGCCGGCAGCGGTAGAGCAGCCTCCTCTGCATCTCCAGCCCGAAATTTCGTAAGCCATAGATATGTATCTTCCCTACAAGTTGTCCCAAAGACTCCGCTCCAAAAGATCCTCGAGATTGCAGAGACGAACGCCCTGAAATGAACTCCACCCAGCCGGCTTCGCTGACTGAATACCCAGAACCGGACGTGGCCCCGGAGAGAAAGGACGTACCCGATCCATGCCTACCGTCACGCGGTTAAAGTCGAACGGATTCTCTACCTTGATGCCTGATCCTGGCACCAGGTCTATTTGTTCACCTTTGGGTATCCTCCCTAGCCACCAACTATGAACCGAAAGCGCCGGGCTGAATTCGATCACATACTAGTCGCTTTGGACGTCGACAATCCGAGCAGGAAGGTACAGTTCCGAGTTGTCGGTAACATGGTAATGGTATCGGAAGTCCGGGTACATGACGGGTGCCTCGACAGTGTCGCCGATATGGAAGCAACGATAAGGTCGCACGTCGTACCTTTGGATGTTTCTCCGCCATGGTCGCCACAGCCGCCGCATGCCCTTTCCGAGTTCCGTCAACTGCTCCTCAGGAAAGAAAAAGCCGTCACTCCCATATTCGTCATCCGATCCAGGATCGTCCTGGGTTTCTGTAGCGTCAATTGGGCCTTGCTCCAGTGCACTGTCCCAGTCGACAAACTCGATCTCATCGCCGTCCACTACCGTGACTCTCGAATCGTACCAAAGTCCGTCGTACTCGACCTGGTCAGATCACAAATTGCATCTCAGTAAATATACTGCACGATCTTTTGGTGGGAACAATACGTACCTGAACCTTTTCTCCAACTTTCGGTGGGTGGGAGAATGCCGTCGACGGCCCCAAAAGCGTGCATTCAAATCCCGGTATAATAGAACTTGAGGGGTTGTCGTCGTCGCGTAGCATCTTGCTGAAGGAATCCTTAACCGGCCTAGTAGAAAAGACAATAGCATTCGAACCCACACCTGCCGTAATAATATACTAGCCCCCGTAACATGCCTTGAACTCGGTGATTTGAAGGTCACCGCTCCAGCCATGATCACCTGATTCTAGCTCATATCGGATAGACAATGTAGCGCCGAGAGAAATGCCCCCGACCGGACGAACTTGCTTGGAGAGACTTTTACGCTCGATTTGACCGGTCTGAAGGTAACGTACGTAAATGTGAACGTCTTGGGTAGTATTGTTAAAGTAAGCGAAGAGGGCGTCGCTGCTTGAGTCCAGGACCTGTCGTTCGGTAACAATTCCTAGCTCCTCAGGTGTTGGAACGGCCACGATTTGCGCAGAGATCCAACCGACGTGATCAGAAGGGGACTCAATTGCTGCCGGCAAGGGAAGATCACCCGATGCCCTTTCACATTCGACAAGTGTCCCGTAGCCTGCGTTTTCGAGGGCCAGTCTTCTCAGCGTGTCAGACAAGGAGGAGTCTTGGAGAAGATTGAAATAGTCGTGAGGCTTGACATAACCCTTGTGTAGCGGATCGAGAGCAGACCGAAGAGCCGGGAGCCAGAAAGGCCGGATTGTAGAGAGACGACGCGTGCCCCCTTGATCGATCCAATAGTAAGATCCTTGCTGGCGAACGAGGTCGATGTCTCCAGGGTAAAAAACTCCGGTCGGTATTTTGTTGAGAACAAATAACGTATCTACCTCATATACGAAGCGTACCCAAAAGACGTATAACGTCTATCGAAAGAGCCTAATATCAGTTTAATACAGAGATATTGGAAGTAAGTTTAAGCTCTCTTACCTCGTAGCGAAGATTCGAGGCGTTGAGTTGTTCTTTTTGGAACCGATCCTTCCAAAACGATGCTGCTTCTGGGTTTTGCGCTTGATAATCTTGAACCACCGACGGGTCGGGAAACAAAGTAGCCTCCTGGAGTCGTCGCCGAAGATTTTCACATTCCTTCATGAGGCTTCCCACGATCCGGTCGATGTTGGCAAAGTTCGTGCTGACGTCCAGGTCGAGCAAGTTTTCATGGTTAGTCGGTTTTCGTACGACGGTGGATGATTCAACAATTTCCTTCCCACTCGTCCGTCCTTGTTGCACCTTGATGTGCTGGAGAAATACGATAGACACCGCGCTGTATGCCCGCTGGTGTTGTTCGGCCTTGCGTTGAATGTCCGCGAGAAGGTCGGGAATCTTGTTGAAAGCCCATATCCGCTTGAAAAACTTCTTCCCACCCGACTCGGTCTTGGTCGCAATTGACGCTCCAGCAAGTTCGATATCCAACGCCTTTGCGCATTCTTTACACGACTGTCCAATGCTTTCCAGGATATTCAGAATAATTATGAACTCTGACGCATTGGCCTGGATGATGTCCTCGTTCACAGGGTCCTTAAACACCTTCAACAAGAGAGATTGGTAGTCAGCAGCTGAAGCTCTTCAGCGGCTTAGTTGAGAGAGTCCAGTCGAGACTTGATTTCCATTCCAAGGTTGATGAGGATGGTCACCGTGGAAACGATATCCATGGCTGACATGGTGATTGCGTGCCAAAGACGGCTATTTTGGCCAGTGGGTGGGTTGGTTCTGTGCCGGGAAGAACTTTGTCTCGAGGCGGGGCTGACTGATTGACTCGTGAAGCTGGTGGGGTACACAAACCCAAGATTCTTACCCCCCTGTTCGGGCCGTTCAGTTTTTCCGGTCGCAAGCGGGGTCATCGCATCTTTGAAAAATAAGCCCATGCGTCATCTGGCATAGGGCTGCGAATTGACAGTTCTCTCCCAGGTCGCCCTTGCTTCTTCACGCCCATTCTCTCTCGACCCATTTCGAACATGAACAGCTGGCTGAAACAATCTGGAGCGGTAGGCCTGGACAGCCTGGAGCTTGCCGACTTCCCAGACACCGGGCGCGGCGTCAAAACACTACGGCCTTTCAAGGAAGGAGAAAAGATTCTCACCATTCCAGCAGGCATTCTCTGGACGGTCAAACATGCATACGCTGATCCCCTTCTTGGACCAGCCCTGCGCTCTGCGCAACCGCCCTTGTCTGTCGAAGACACCTTGGCTACGTACATTCTCTTTGTGAAATCTCGCGAGTCGGGATACGATGGCCAGCGAAGCCATATAGCAGCGTTGCCTACGAGCTACTCTTCAAGCATCCTCTTTGCGGAAGATGATTTGGAAGCTTGCGCTGGAACTTCCCTGTACACCATCACGAAGCAGCTGGAGCAATCAATCGAAGATGATCACAGGGCCTTAGTTGTGCGGTTGTTTGTACAGCATCCGGATCTTTTTCCACTGGACAAATTTACCGTGGAAGATGTAGGTCTACACGCGTGTAATAAGATGTTGCAAATCAACCGATAACGCTCATTCTTCCCTTGGTTTTAGTATAAGTGGGCTCTTTGCACCGTGTGGAGTCGTGCGATGGACTTCGTCCTGGCCGATGGGAATTCGATTCGACTTTTGGCGCCCTTCGCGGACATGTTGAACCACACGTCCGAGGTCAAGCAGTGTCATGTCTACGATCCCTCATCTGGAAACCTCTCTGTCCTTGCAGGAAAAGATTACGAAGCCGGAGATCAGGTATTTATCAACTACGGACCGGTCCCGAATAGTCGCCTTTTACGTCTCTATGGCTTTGTCATTCCCGGTAATCCCAACGACAGCTACGACCTCGTTCTTTCAACGCACCCTCAGGCGCCATTTTTCGAACAAAAGCAGAAGCTCTGGGTATCGGCTGGACTTGATTCGACCGCTACCATCCCCCTCACTCTCACCGATCCGCTACCGAAAAAGGTCCTTCGATATCTCCGTATTCAGCGATTGGACGCTTCGGGTCTCGCTGTCATAGCGCGCCAGCAAACCGATGCTACAGATGGGAAAATCAGTGATTCGAACGAAGTAGAAATCCTGCGGTTCCTGGTGGAATCCTTTAATTATCTTCTAGATGGTTTCGGAACGCCGCTGGAAAAGCTGGAACAACAACTTGCGGAAGGTGTCTATTCTCCGGGAGGGAACGCATGGGCTGCGGCGCACGTTAGCTTGGGCGAACAGCGGGTGTTGAGATTGGCGAGAAAGAGAGCGGAGGAGTTGCTATCGGCAGTGGAGAGCGGAAGTGGCAATGTGAGGAATCGATGCGCAAATTGCGGAAAGGGTTCTGCGCAGTTGAGTTTGTGCGGAAGGTGCAAAGCCGTTGCGTATTGTGGGCGGGCGTGCCAGGTCGCTCATTACAAACAGCACAAGGCAAGATGTCAAGCTACCGCTTCCAAGAGCGGTTGAGGTTCAGGGATGATAATAAAAGTAATGTATTATTCTCTCTTGGTTGTCTCCAGACGTTGGCCTATTACTGTAACCCAACTCCCTCTTCCTCCTCCCTAGGTGTCCCCACTTCATCTCTCATCACAGATTCCGCACCCCCAGCCTTCAGCCGAGCGCCGGAGCCCGACGCTACCATGGCCAATGCGACACCCAATACAAGACATATCGAGAATCTTGGCGCCCGAACGAGAACACACGAGCAAAGATCTCAACGCGATGCTTGATATTCAGTGATACAGTCTTCACCGGGTGGAGCGACCAAGCAAGGAGCAAGCATGCCCGGCCTTTTTACACCCGCTCTCCACATTGAAGAGGCCCCGGCCCCTGACAACAAATTTATGCGATGGATGGACATCCTCCCTAAAACGGCCATAGATGGCTCAGATCGTCCGTCGTCCGAGGCCGCTGCATACTGTAGGGAAGTGTCCGTCGGCGGTCCTATCTGGATAACTCACAATAAAGTCATCACTTGGGGGGTCGGTTATATATAGGTCCAGTATTCTTTATTCTTGTTTTTCATGATTCCAAGCCGGTTCGGCAAAGCATCGTAACTTTGAGGAAGGAACGTCTTGACTGCGGTGAGGATGCCATGGTTGATGATTAATAAATCGAGTTTATGAAAGTACCGGGAATTCCTCTCTCCTGCCATCTAGGATAAAAAAGGAAAAGAAACTAGAACACTATGTTTTCTTGGGGCGATGATGGAGCATGGGGCTTTCTGTATTATCACCTTGTCAGGCGTAGGATGGCTGGCGGCTCCTTCCTAACTATACGTCAATGGCCCAAAGGACATTTCTTTTTAGAGGCAGGGCATTATGGACCCAGAGACTTCAGGGCGCCAATCAATAAACTCGATTTGGGCGAGGGTCGTAGCTTTCTGTCACAGGGTCTACAGGGTTGGCAATAGTGTACCAGTAGCGGCCTGGTAGCTTGCACCACTTATGGGGCCGTGGCGCGGGTAGGGCTCAGCTTTTCAGCTTTTCCCGAATGTCACGAGCGACGTGGTCACGAGAGACAAAGCTGAAAACGTTGATTCCAGGTCTATAGTAGAATCACAAGATAAAGAAGAAAAAGAGGGAAACGTGCAAAGGCGCGCCTGGCGCCCAGGGTTTCAACCCAGGGCCCAGATGGCCGGTGCACGCAGCAAGACATCACGTGCACGTCCCGCCATGCCGGGACCCATCCGCCTATGCCGCAACACCGAACATCGTTCGTTATGCGGCGTTATGGTTTCCAATCCTCCTCTGATCTTAACCCTCCAAGGTCCGGTCGCCTTCCTCCATGTCGGAGTCAAGGTCGAGATCATCATCCTCCTCCTCGCTGCTTATCCGATCAAGTTCATTTTGCAACAATTCCATGAGCTTCTCTTGAGTGTTCTCGAGGACCTTTGCCACGATCTAGTGATAGTAAGTTTCCAGTTCCTCATCTAACTTTTTGCTGCTCGTTTGATTACCTTATCTCTAAGCAGATTCTTGGCCTTCACATAGTCGCAACAATGGTCGATCGCATAGTCTTTCACCGCTTTGGCCATTTGGGGGGAGAGTTCACAGCCGGGGTGGACGGGGATGGGAGGTGGGACGAGGATAGTTCCGTCCGGTCCGGTTATGGTGCGCGAGAATGTGCCCGCGATGCCCGTGACCGTGGTGATGGTGAGGCCTATGGCTCCTGTGCCCGTGGTCTCTATAACAATCTGAGATTGCTGGGCTGGCGCTTCAGGTGTAACCTTTTTTTTTGTTGTTGTTGTTGTTGTTGTTGTATTTTTAACGTCTACTTCCGCCTCCCGTAGGGCATGAGACGTGCCACATCGGTGAATCTAGCGTACAAAAATTGTCCACCATAACCATTAATCCGAGGGCAACCCAAGGCCTATTGCCAGTGGAAATCACGTGTTGCCTATAGCGTAAACGCGGCCCAACACTTCCAAATAACTTCTAACAGTAATGTCCAATAAGATCAAATATATATTACTATTTAAGGAGGTCGATCGGAACAAACTCCAGATGTTAACCTATATTCTTAATTCTTACTAGAGAGGAAAGAGAAGCTGAAAGTGTATAATTTCATTTATAAATACAATAAGTTGACTATTAGTAATATCTTTATTATATAGGATATATAGTATAGTATAATTATTTGAGGTTTAGTAACGTCTTATAGTAATATCTAATAAAATTAAATATATATTACTATTTAAGGAAATAAATCAAAATAATATTAAGATATTTACCTATATCCTTAACTCTTACTAAATAAGAAAGAGAAGGCGAAAGCGCATAATTTCATTTTCTTAGTAATATTCTCCTAACGGCAGACATACAGCATAGTATCAACTTTTTTTTTTTTTGTAATTTTCTATAGTAATATCTAATACGATTAGAAGCCTTCGTAATTTTAAAGGGATTAATTGAATTTAATAAATAAGAAATTAATAGTTAAGCGCTAGAGTAGTGCTAATTATAAAACCGATCGAAGGGATATTCTTTATAGCTTATAAAAACGGGTTAAAATAAGATAATAAATTTAAATCCGGAAGTATATAAAGGGTAAGAGTTAGGTAAAGTATACAATACAACTATATAATTTAGTAGTTTGGTTATAATTAATAATTAGTAATTTTATTCTAGTGGTAGAATAGTTTCCATTATTTAAATTAGGTAAAAGGAAAATAAATAATATTAAATATTTGCTTTGGATAATATAATAGAAGGGTAAATTATTCTAATATGAAATACTATAGAAATTATACTTACTAAGGAAAATATTATGTTGGGTCAGAGATAAGCGGTCTATAACGTTAATATTGTTTTTAGATTGAATATAAAATTGAAGTACCGAGCGGTCCTATTTTGAAATAGAGATAGGAATATAGCTTTCTCTATATTATTGTTTGAGATTTTAATTTTAAAATAATTTGTAATTATATTCCTATATTACTTAATCTAATTAGTTTTTATATTTTAATTTATATAATTAAAATACTTTACTAGAAGATTATTACTTTACTACTTGGGAATTCTTTAGGGATATTATATTTATAAATTGTAAATTATAAGTAGTATATCTCTTTAAGTAGTATAGTATATTTAATATTAATAATTATTATTATTAATTTATATATTATATTTGCGTTAGTACTAAAAAATATAAATAATTATTTTTTTTAATTAAAGGGGGAGGCTAAAATTTATATAGCGCTAATAGTTAGTTCTATAATTAGTTATTATATAGGTTTTGAAATATGAATATTAATTGTACTTATAATATATATAATATTGAAGAGTAAAAATTATTATTTCTTTATTATAAAGTAGGATTGTTTAAAAATAAAATAATAAATTAATTTAAGATATAGTGAAAAAGTATTTATATATAATTAATTTTATTCCCCTAAGCTATTCACTTTCAAATTTTGTATTATTCTTTCCAGAAAGGAATTTTATAAAACAATTTTCTAGCCTAATAGAAAATTTACTAAATGTATTTAAGAATTTAAATTGTAAAGGTTTACTACTTCCTACCTTATATTTTTATATATGTTTACTATATCTATTAGGTAATACGGAATTAGCCTACCCTAACTATTAAAAGTAAAGATATTCGCTCTTACTATATTTTTTATACTAAATCCTAGAAATAGAATACTTAACTAAAAATTCAATAGTTTAATATTTTAATTAAATAGAAGTATACGGATTGAAAAACGTTTAAAGGAAATAGATAGGGATTAAGAAAGGGATAAACGGTTTAAAGAAGTAAAAAATTAAATAAATAGAGTTATATAACTATTAGAGAAGATTTTGGAATCTATAAATATTCTAGCTTCTAACCTAAGGGGCTTTTCCGTTGATATAGTTGAAGTTTTTAAAATATTTAAGTAATAATTTATATAAATCCTTTAAATAATTGTAAATGGATTTCAATAAAGGCCTACCTCTATTATCTAAACGGTCCTTTAACTGAGTAGGAAAAGATAAAACGATTTATACATATTTACTAGAATAAGAAAATTAGTAATTTAAAGAGGAGAATTAGCGTTTATTATACGAGATTTTTATTCTAATGTATAAAAATAATAATAATTATAATTTTTTTAAATTAATATAACGATATAGTAGTAGAAATAATTACTATAATTATAAGCGCCTTTTAATAATATAGAGTGTCAATATCTATTATTTAAACGTCGAAAAGCGTTTTTAAAGATAATTCGAAAGAAATAGAAATTGGAATAAATTTAAGGGAAAAAGTCTAATACTATAATATAACAAACAAAGAATAATATTATATAGTAAAATAGTACCGAACGTAATTATTTAGCTATAGATTATTCAGCCCCTAAATATTATTCTTCAGCCTTAATAATAATATTTTAAACTCTAGTTTCTATATTCCGGAAAAAGAGTCGATTCTATCCTTATATATTAATAATGCTATACTTATATTTTACTACCCTCAAATTAGGAATTTAAGAACTCTAGTATTTTTATTAAATTTTGATTATTTATACTAGTTACTTTATAAATTTATTTACTCTTAAATATAATATTAATTATTTATTATATTGGGGATTCTATAAGAAATTTAATATATAGGTTATATATTACTCTTCAACTAAGCAAAATTAAATTAGTTAAATATATTTATAATTTTACTAAAACTAATTTATAAAAATCCATTCTCTCTTCTTTCTCTACTCAAATTAACGTTATTTCTAGCGCTATTTAATAAGTTCTTCAAGTATTAGATTGTATTAATAATAAATTTAATAAATTAAAAACTATATCCTTAATATCTTTAATATCCCTACTATTAATACTATACCTAAGTAATACTGTTAGTATTTATTTTATTTCAAATTTTAAAAAGATTGGATATTATACCCTTAAACTATTAATTAAAGACAACCTTAGATTTAATTTTATTACTAATTTTTATAAATTCGAAATAGATTCCTATTTCCGTAGGAAAGTCCATATATCTATTATGGATTTAGGTATTAATTAGAAAGATTTTACTAAATAAACTCTATTTTTACTAAATTATAATTAACTTGTAGTTTAATATAATTGGGATAATAATAGGTTTTTATAACTATACCTTTCTTATTTAAAAATAATAGTTTTTATTAATTTCGATTTTAACTTCAATTTACTTATAAATAATAAAACTAAGTAATTCCTTTAGAATATTATTAAATCTCTTCCTCGAAATACTATACCCTATTATATTAAGTTTTTTAATACTTTTAGAATACTATTTATATTACTTTTCCTATCCGGCGCACTTTTAATATTCGGCGACCTCCCTAAAATTAATAGGTTGTATATATATATAAGCGAGCGTAGTTTAGGGGCCGCTTTCTACTATAAAGATACTTAATTATACTTTTATAACCTTAATATTTTTAAATAGAAGTTCTAAATAATAATCGATCTAAATAATATTATTAAATTTAAAAGGATATTTACAACTAAATAGGCGTTTTATAAATATAATTAATTTGTATAATATATAAATATTATAATAAATCCGAAGAGGCTATTTAAAGAAAAATTAAATTCAATATTATTTATGCTAGCCCTAGCGGTTTAATTATAATACAATTATAATGATATTATATAATTATTAATTAAACCCTATCTTTCGCTATAGTAATTACTTTTATTTTACTTAATAAAGAAGTAATTTTATATAAATAGGTTATTTATTTAGAAGACGGGTTCTATAATCTATTAATTAGTAACTTCAAAAAGCTTTCCTATAAGCCCCTTATTAAGAAATAGAAATTCAACGCTACCCTTCTACTATATAGTAAAAAGTAGAATTTTGGTCAATTTTAATATATTAGTAATATTATTAGTAATAATAATATTGAAGGGAGGGATTATGAAGAAAATAAAGAATAGAATGAGGAGGAGGACTAGGAGTAGAATAAGGAGGAGATTGAAAAGTAGAGGGAAAAGTATAGCGAGAATTAGGGCAAATACTAGGATAAGTAAGTATATATACTATAAAATAATTATGTAGAGTAGAACGTGAAATTTAATACCGCTATAAGTATCGGTTATAATAATATTTAAATTAAAATTAATAGTAATACTAAGAATATTAATACTAATATTAATGTCGAATTAGGCTATTAATTCGTAAATTTAATAATAGATAAGAATACAATTCTATAATTTATATTAATTGTATACGTTTAGAATAGTAT